AAAGCTAACCCTGAATTTAATGGGCCCATTATAGTGTCGAAGAATACATTGAAGACAATGATGTGCAAGTCGCCTGACTGCTGCTGATTACTTTACAAAGTATACATAGTTTAAATATACAAAGTATACATAGTTTAAATATACAAAGTATACATAGTTTAAATATACAAAGTATACATAGTTCCGAGGAATTGTTTGGATTGATCCCAGCGGCTGAATTTCACCATCGGACATCGCGCCAAAACCAAAAATTTCATCCACACCACCTCGATGTCCAGCATTCCACAACAGCGCGATTTTCAAGGCATTTCCTGCCTCGCACAACCACTCTGTGGAACCAGTTGCCGCCGGCGGTCTTTCCGAACCGTTACGACCTGGGAACCTTCAAGAAGAGAGCGTACTCATTCCTAAAAGACCGGCATCGCATTTGTAAGCCCTCGGGTGTTGCAGATGTCCATGGGCGGCGGTGATCACTTACCATCAGGTGAGCCTCCTGCTCGCTGCTTTTTGCTGCTTTTTTCCCATAATAAAAAAAAAAAAAAGAAGACCGCAGAGTTTCTTGCCGGTTCGTGTCTGACCAGATCTAAATTAGTAACCTGTGGTAGTTTTCTAACGTACAACTAATGCCTAAAAAAAGCCCACATATGTGGGGCGGCACAGTGTGAATCGTGTTGTTAATGGTATTGGCTAAGTTTTTAACTACCAGCCGCCTGCCGGAACCCAATAAGCATTGAGAATAAACACCCAAATGCGGAACAATTACCTGTGGGTGACAAAATTATTTTTCCCGTGTGGGAATCAAACCCATGACCCGCAGCGCCAAAGCCAATGGTTTAGCAACTGCACCTCAGATAATAAGATGCTAGTCTTCAAATAAGATTTCATCTATCTAAGTATATCAGGGTGCGACAGATTTTAAAAATTGGCCAGTAACCAACATTACCAATTAAAAACTTACTTTTAAATTTTATTTATAGAAAGAACTCTTTGGTAATCTGATGATATATTGCATTCATTTGTCGTTTGTTTTCTTGTTAAACCTCAGAATTTAAGCCAAAAAAAAACAAATCGTTCCACGACTTATTACGAGATTCGTTGTGGTCTTCTCAACAACAAAGTTATGATAGACTTCGATTGGCATTTAATAATGAAACCCCATCCAGTGCAGTGGCAGTGACACTGGATGGAGTTTCATTATTAAATGCCAATTAAACTTATTAAACCAATTGTAAACAGTGGTTTAAAATTGTTACAAAGTACAAAGTATACATAGTTTAAATATACAAAGTATACATAGTTTAAATATACAAAGTATACATAGTTTAAATATACAAATGTATACATAGTTCCGAGGAATTGTTTGGATTGATCCCAGCGGCTGAATTTCACCATCGGACATCGCGCCAAAACCAAAAATTTCATCCACACCACCTCGATGTCCAGCATTCCACAACAGCGCGATTTTCAAGGCATTTCCTGCCTCGCACAACCACTCTGTGGAACCAGTTGCCGCCGGCGGTCTTTCCGAACCGTTACGACCTGGGAACCTTCAAGAAGAGAGCGTACTCATTCCTAAAAGACCGGCATCGCATTTGTAAGCCCTCGGGTGTTGCAGATGTCCATGGGCGGCGGTGATCACTTACCATCAGGTGAGCCTCCTGCTCGTTTGCTGCTTTTTTCCCATAATAAAAAAAAAAAAAAGAAGACCGCAGAGTTTCTTGCCGGTTCGTGTCTGACCAGATCTAAATTAGTAACCTGTGGTAGTTTTCTAACGTACAACTAATGCCTAAAAAAAGCCCACATATGTGGGGCGGCACAGTGTGAATCGTGTTGTTAATGGTATTGGCTAAGTTTTTAACTACCAGCCGCCTGCCGGAACCCAATAAGCATTGAGAATAAACACCCAAATGCGGAACAATTACCTGTGGGTGACAAAATTATTTTTCCCGTGTGGGAATCAAACCCATGACCCGCAGCGCCAAAGCCAATGGTTTAGCAACTGCACCTCAGATAATAAGATGCTAGTCTTCAAATAAGATTTCATCTATCTAAGTATATCAGGGTGCGACAGATTTTAAAAATTGGCCAGTAACCAACATTACCAATTAAAACTTACTTTTAAATTTTATTTATAGAAAGAACTCTTTGGTAATCTGATGATATATTGCATTCATTTGTCGTTTGTTTTCTTGTTAAACCTCAGAATTTAAGCCAAAAAAAAATCGGTCCACGATTTATTACGAGTTTCGTTGTGGTCTTCTCAACAACAAAGTTATGATAGACTTCGATTGGCATTTAATAATGAAACCCCATCCAGTGCAGTGGCAGTGACACTGGATGGAGTTTCATTATTAAATGCCAATTAAACTTATTAAACCAATTGTAAACAGTGGTTTAAAATTGTTTTAACGAGTTTAAGCGTGGGCGTAGCAATCTCAGTGATGATCAGTGAATTTGCGTGAGGGAGATCCTTCAACAGAGACATTTGGGGATAACATCAGTCCTGTGCATCACATGACAAAGGAGGATGATAAAGTGAAGACCTACCAACAGATTCAGAGCTAAGGCGTCTGTAATAGTCAAGTAAAAAATATTACACGATCATTTAGGCTTCAAGATGTTTTATGCCAGATGAATACCCCATAATATGACCGAAGAATAGAAGCGCCTTCTTCCTTGCGCATGGATTAGTGTCGACAATTCTGCAATTTTAGAAAAGTTCAACGGAGGTAGGTGGCTCTAATGCTGTATTTTTTTTAATGCGAAAAGTTACCAAACGAGCAGACGGTTCACCTGATGGTAAGTGAATATCGCTGCCCATGGACATCTGCTACACCCGAGGGTTACAGATACGTTGACTACCTTTTGAAAATTGGGCTCCGGCCACCTCACTCACCAGACGAAACGCGAAAGTATTTGTCATACTTCCACTTTACGCTGGTCGTGGTACTTACCCGGACGAGCCTGCCCATTCGTGCAACAGCCGTCTGCTGCGTGGCCCTACCACCGTATTTGACATCGACATGTGAAGGAAACTGGGTATATTGCTGCGAAGCCGAAAACATAAGATAGTTTGCTAAGTGGGTTTTTCCTTTTGAGGATAAGCCAACTAAAGAAAGGAAGAAATCAAGGAAAAAAAGATGATTGCCTCGTTCTTTAGTCGGAAAGGTCATTGCTCTGAAATCAAGGTCACGCGAAACTTGTGCTGAAAAATAGAAGAACATTTACTGCAGACCGGTATCTTAACTGTTGTTTGTCTGTTTTCTTGGAAAAATTTCGACGGCGGCGTGCACGAAGCAGGATCCTCCTCCACCACGACAATGTTTCAGCGAACTCCGCAAAACGACCAACTAAATATTTGACTATGGCAGGTATTGAGATAATGAGGCATCCGCCAAATAGATCCAACCTGGCGCCTATAATTTATCCCCAAGAATAACTATAAAGTCGCACACTAATTTATTCCCAAGAATTAACGCTAAAATTTGAGCTATTCGCTTTACGAGCCCAGAAGATGCGGTGATTGCATTCAAAGATGTTATAGAAGGGACCTCCTATGGAAAAATTACTACTTTTCTCAGTGCACACTACTTATCTCAGCCGTTCCATTGAATGCGAAGATGCATAGAGGAACGGAGTCTACCTCCAAAAACAATAAAAATATTGGCAACTCTCTACATTGAACCGTTTTATGATTTTTACTGAGTACTTTCAGTGTATTCCGATTACAATAATTGTTATGGACTTTTTTTATGTGAAAAAGTGGCAAACGAGCTGGCGGTTCACCTGATGTTAGGTGATAACTGCCACCCATGGACATTTGCAACATCCGTAGTGTTGCAGGTGCGTTGTCACCTTTCAATAAAGTGGGCCCCGGCTTCCTCAATCACCAAACGAAACGCACAAATGTAACACTTCTACTTCATGCCGGTCTTCTGTGAGGTCGTGGTACTAATCAGGACGGACCATACCATTCGGGCGACAGTGAATACTGTTGCGTGGTCCTACCACAATATATAAATAAAAATTATACAACAGATTCCTTTATTAGCATTTATTATTATCTCACAGTTTTGAAAATTAGAAAACACTTAAACGCGTTTTTCAACCGTAGACGAGATCACCAGAAGACCAATATACATTTAGATAATTAAAACATGAGGGTGGTTTTACTTTAATCCTTTAGAATGTGGAAACTAAAACCAAAATTATATATATACTATACAAAGAAATTTGAAAATGGCAAAGAAATTTAAACGATTGGCCCACAATCATAAATTCATAATTAACTTACAGTCAAAGCAACATTCTAAAGCTGTTTGTTTTCATTTGCATGCGTTCCCAAAATCCTAAAGCACCCAAACACCTTATTGAAAACAAACTAAATTAAATCTCAGAAGATTGATGAAATTTAGATGGGTGCCTTCTTCACTACATAGTATAAAATAAAGTCGTCCCGCTGTCAGTCTGTCCGTATGTATGCTTAGATCTTTAAGACGAGGCAACGGATCTTTAAGACTAGGCAACGGATCTTTATTAGGTTTTTTACTACATAGAGTGATTCAAGAGGATTCGAGGTTTATTTGTATAATACGTTGCACCCGTGCAAAGCCGGGGCGGTTAGCTAGTGGATGATAAAACTAAATACAATAATGTCATTCAACCATAAATGCATTCATACATCTTCATTATATCTTTTCAACTTTAACGTTGCAATTGAAGAGCGATACATTGTTTATTTAATTTTTATAAAGCTCTCCTTTCTTCTAGAACGAGACAATAATAGTATAATTTTGCCACAATATAATATTCCACTTTATTATAAGGCATCTGCAACCCTACGGGTGATGTAAATCAACGAGCGGCGGTTATCACTTAATATCAGGTGAGCCGCTAGCTGGTCGGCCAACTTCTCAGATAAGAAAAAATAATATCTTCTATTGGCTCGGTGCCCGTTCGCCGCTTCTGCTAGAGTCGCTCTTGCGCGCCCTCTTGTGTCAGGAGCCCTCCTTCAGTTTACCGTTTTCGTTCGCTTTCGTGATCCGCTCCATCACCTCGTGGTTGTAGGTCGAGTGCAGCATTAGGCCCAACACACCCGCCCTGCGGAGTACCGATAAAAAATGGGATAGTATTAGTTAATTTCTTTGAAAACATAATTAAAACACGTATCTTTTATCATGGCAGTCACTGTCACCATGCCAAAACTATTTCAAGTGAATGATTTTCAAGTAATGTTCAGATTAACTCGGATCATAACAACTAATTAATTATTTGAAAACATCGTAGAAATGTCATTATGACATTATTGATCTAGTATCAGGGATAGATGGCGCATAGATGGCGCTCGCGACAAGTGACGAGAGATATCCAAGTAATAACGACCTTAAGGCCATAGATAATTAGGAACCAGTTAGTGACGAACGGGTATCCAAGCGATCGCGATCTTGAGGCCACGGATAATTATGAAACGATCAGCGCCGTCACTGACGAGTGGGTACACAAGTAGTCGCCACCTTGAGGCCATCGCGAGCCGTATGCTCCGCTCCTGCTCGACCAGCTCGTCCAGCCTGAGCCACTGCCTGACGCGCTCCATGTCGATCTCGGCGCGGCGCAGCTTCTCCCACTGGTAGTGCCTCAGGCAGGACTTCTTCGGCGCCCTGCAGAACTCGCCCGTCGGCTCGAACACGCCCTTCACGAGCGGGCAGCCGCACACGTCCGAGTCGCTCACCTTCGGGTCTTTGAAGTGCTCGGGGCACATCACCTGACAGTGAACGAGGTTTTATTAACGTCTGAATACGCCACGCTATCATACCAGCCTTTGGGTTCTTTTAGACTACAATAGATCTTCTAGAAGAAAACGATTTGTCTGTTTTGTCTCTTATATTTATAAGTATCTAACGTAACTAAGTTGTTGTCATTGGGTTTATAAGGTTTACATTGCAATATTCTTTAAAAGCTATCGGCTGTTAATTTTGTTAACTCAAATTTGAAAAAACCGGTCAATCCGAGTCGAACTCGTACGCCGTGGGTTCCGTACCTACTCATTATACCGCCATAATAAAATTGGTAAATAATCACCACCGAACGGATGGACCTATCAAGTTGAAATTTATACCAGATACTGAAGTCTATAGTCCCTACTAGCTGCATAAAATCAAGTACCTGAGTCAACAGGATAAAAAGATATGGGCAATTTCAGCGCAAATCTAATTTCAACCTTAAAAGCTTTAGCACACGGCTGTCATTGGAAGAACGAAACAAAATCACTTAGGTGGAATTCAGTTTGTTAACAAATTATTCGCTTCGCCGCCACTCCGTCCCTCGGCGCTGACCAAAGCTCGTTCGCTCCTTCTAAAGTCTATTCTAAACCTACCCTCAGTCTCTTGCAGTAGGTGCCGTTGATCGGGTTGTAGTAGTCGCAGAACATGCTCTGGCCGTCGATCCTGGTGCGATGGCGGCTGCCGAAGGACGCCTGCGCCTCGTATTTTATGAAGCACTTCTCCATGTGCTTGACCGCTGTCCGCGAGTGGATCTCGTGGCCGCACGTGATGCAGTACATCGACGTCTCGTCGTCCGCCTCCTGCGGAATAGCGTTTTGCCGTGACTAAATCTGTCAGTTATACAGGGAGATCAGTTTTCTAAGTGTACCCATCTTTTTTTTTTTAATTAAATTCTAGACAAATAATGTTATATAAAAATTATAAATATTTAAAATCACTCGCAATTAATTACATTTATTTGAACTTATCTCAAAAAGTGCGTGTTTTATACGCAACTCGTTTATTTTACGCGCGATCATTCATAACTAACACGCACACAAGTTCGTTTCAAAATTATACGACGTATTTATGAATGACTACCGCATTGTCAACAAGTTCTGTTTTTAGGGAATAGAACGGCAATTTTTTGTTTTGTAAAAAAAAAATTAATACCTTGTTATTAAAATTTAAACTTCTTATAACGCAGCGCTGAAAGTTTCAATACATTTAGCTACAAAAATTCACTTATGTCATATATCTGATATAATAATGTAAGTCGAAATAAAACTACTTAAAGATAAGTGCGATGAACTAATTGCTATCACCTTTCGTTAGTCGATTTTTATTTTCTCGTCTATAGAAATTGCAGAACCGCAGCGAAGCGGACATCATCGTTAGTTACATTTTTTTCTCGGTCGCAGACCTCTTCCGACTGTTAAAGGCGGACTTACAGCAAACTACACTCCCACAAAAAACCTTGATATCTGCATCTTCCTCAAATGAATTTTACAATCTATCAAACGGCGATGAAGCCGGCAATCGTCTTTTTAAAAATGGAACTCGCGGGTTTGAAATTATCGTGTGAAATCGTCGTTCGTCGTCTCGTGTTTAATAAAATGGAACGCGCGGTTTCGATATTTAAAAAGCAAACGGCTCCTCGCCTTCCCGTCCTTCCACGTCTCGTGCTTTTGAAAATGGAACGCGCGGGTTCGAAATTTAAAAGGCAAACGGCGCCTCGCTTTCTCGTGCTTTTGAAAACGGAACGCGCGGGTCGTAATAAAAAAAAAAAGAAACTGCAGCTCGCCTTCTCGTCGCTGTGCACTATGGTGGCGTTCTTGGCGCGCGCCACCAGCGCGTCCAGGTCCGCGTGCTGGCGGTCGAGCGCGCGCAGGGCGGCCTGCGCCTTCGCCAGCCCGCCGCGGACCACCTCCAGCGCCTTGCGGTTGTGCTGCTCCGCCACGCAGCTGGACAGCGACCACTCCTGGATGCGCTGCGGCAACACCTGGAAACAGCACATAGGAGAAATATTTTTTTTCTATTCAATACCGTTCGCACAAAAATAATGTTTTTTTTTAGTAAATGACAACCGCTGCCAATGACAACCTTATAATAAGGAGAATATTCACCTTATAAAAAGAATTCAGAGGTGACTTTCAGTTCAATACATTTTCCACAACAAAGAACAAAATCGAAACAAATGACCACTATCTTCTTTGATAAATGAGGATACCCGGATGAGCCTGGCACCCATCCATGCAACAGTAGAGTTTTCATTGGCCCTGCCACAGTAGTTAGTTTTTTTTATTCATGGAATAATCACTATCATATATCTGATTACATTTGATTACTTACCTGGTATATTCTAGCAGTGGCAAGTCGCATGCCACATTGTGTTGAGCAATATTTCGAGCCATATTGAGCTGCTCTTGTGCACTGTGGCCCATAGCATTGTCTGGGTTCAGAAGTTTGAAGGTGAGATATAGATTCCTCTGGCTCATATGTTTCCCTTTCATGATGCTTCTTCTTTATTCTGCTACTACTGTATGATGAAAAAAAAAACAGTTAATTAACAGAAAAATTCATAGAATAAGAAATAATTATTTTACATTGTAACTTTTCCTTATGTGGATAATTATTTTTATTGACCTTGATTGCCGCAAGGCCTTTTTATCTTTGATGCATAGTTTAAGTCTGCATTTCGTCTTCAATTTATTACTTCCTCCATATTTAAACATGTCTTCACAAGCATCGCAACTAAAAGAAAAGCATAAATGAAATGTTAAAATTCTGAGGACGACCTATCATAATCAGTTTGACAGAAGAGAAATCATATACATAATAGATTATCAAAGAAATTAAAATATGCTAACCGTCCACAATCCTGTTCTTGCAAACAGCCTGAACAATCTCCACAACCATCTTTTATAGTTGGTCTCTTTGATGACTTATTTTCTGAGTAATCTTTTTCTTTCCGTTTCTTCTTCCTGTCATCACGCCCTGAAATAACATTATTTCACTAAATGGTATCTATTTTGTGACAAATTCGCAATTTTTTTTTCTTTATATAAATATCAGTGAATAAACAATTATAAAATACATTTACAAACCTTTTTGTTTTATCTTTTCAAATTTACATAGTATAATGATAAGTTACCTGACCAGGAGATTAAAACTTCATATTAGTCATAGTTTTATAAAATAATTTCTGAACAGCTATATTAGTCTACAAAAACTTAGCTTAAGTTATTGTTAATTACTTTAAGTTTATTTCTCTGTGTACAAATTTGCTTCGTTTCTTGCTCAATTTACACTCATTCAAAGCATCCTTTTGCAATAACTAATCATTTTTATTTTAGGAATTAACAAACCTGAATCACCATCATTTTCTCTTTTCTGTGGTCTAAATCTTGTTTTCAGACTGGGGTCTTCTTCACGGCACCGATCGCAGAAATAATTTTTAATGTACTTTGCTTCTCTCTCAGATATGTTAATACAGTCTCCATGGTACCACTCTTCACATGAATCACATGCTCTAATGGGAAAAAATGTTTTTTGATATTTTTGTTTTTAAATTCATGCAACAAAAACAAATTTTAAAGTTCTAAATGGTAAAATTTTTGATGTAAAATTTGACAGAGACAAATAAAGTTTATATTGCTTCTACAATCTTTTGCTTGTAATATACATCTCATCTGTATGATCTTTGTTATACCATCAACCCTTTATTGTAAAACATATCTTATATTATGACAGGTAAGATCTTTCCATTTCATAGAAATCCATTTCAAACAATCATTATTTAATTTTGAGGTTAAAGCAAACATATACCAAGACATCTAAGTTTAAAATTCGTGCTCCTATTGAAACCAATAGGAAATAACTGAAGATATACTTAAACATCCTACATCATAAATCGTGAACTATCCGATGATCTGCATATACAATAAGCTTGACCAGCTTGATTTAGCAGCGACGTGATTTTTGATTGACGCTCAGGTAAATCGAATTGCTTAGCAATGTCTGCTTTCTGTAAAATAACCATTAATTAAAGGTACAAGTCAATTAATTTCTTCGGTAAAAATAAAAACAATAATAAAGTTTTAAAAGTTTCGACTAGGTACTTACACTTTGTTTATACTTTTTATCACTCATTTTATGGAAAAGATATTTCCCTTCTCCTATTAAGTACGAATAAAGTATAAATATGTTAAAACACGATTATATTCTTCTTTACTGTTCAGGACTATTACATTGATGACTTATCTAAAAAAATCTATTGAACAAAATTGAAAATTCAATTCCTGTTGTGATGAGTGATGATATGAGTGACCAGTGTTGCCAAATGCCAATTGTCAAGCCAAATATGCACAACAGCACAGGGCAGGGCTAGGGATGCAGAAAAAATATCGGTATATTGATGTGTTGACAACTTAGCCGATATATTTTGATCCGATATATCGATATAAAATATTCAATATCGAAATCGTATCACAAACGATATTTTTTTCAAATTCGAATGGACAAAGTACATAAATTCAAAAATTCATTACTTGGCATACGTTTTTTTTCTTTAGGCTACGGGGCCTAACAAGAAAATACCGATATTTTCTCTTTGATATATCGATCCGATATTGATAATTTTAAAAATTACATAATTATGTTAATGTTTTAGTTTTTCATTTTTATTTTATCTTTAATAAAATCATTAATGTTGATCTAATATTTACAAGATTAAATCTATCTAAAATTACAAATTATCTAATAAACCTAATCCACGCGGCATGGTGCATAATTTAATTGTGCATTATGTAATTTTAAAATATCGATATATTAATATATTTCTTCACTGGCATTCCTAGGCAGGGCCTGATGTTCCCATTTTGCTAGCATAAGTAGTATAATGTAGTCGAATATCAATTTCTGTAGCCCAATACAGCCGCAGCACCAAAATATCGCTCTAGCATGTATGAAGAATTAACTTACTTATTTCCACGTATTATAAAAACTATAAAAACTTATGGTAAATGTAAATAATTTTAACTCTGGTGTAATTCAATTCAAATAAATTTTAAACGATAGAGAAAAATCACTAACAACGGTCGCTTATAGTTTTCGAAAAAATAAATAATGAAATAGTGTGATTTTTAGTACAGAAATCCGCCATTTTTTTGTTGTCAATATATCAGTTCTGCTCGTATTTCTTGTTGGTCATAGAAAAAGTAACCTAACCTCGAAGGTTAAGGCGGGAGCCCTGCTCTCGCCTGAACCTTCTAACCTAATCTATCCGAGTCGGATTCGCTCTGTGTCGGTTCTGTGAATCATTAAATTAAAAAAAAATCGGACTATCGATACGAGTATGATGTCGCCCGCTTCCTATATTTATCATGTTGGCAGAACTGTCTATTGAGTTTTTGAAGTCAAATAAATAAAATAGTGGATTTCTTAGTAAAAATAACAAGTTTTAAATATTTTTTTCTCGAAAACTATAAGCGACAACCGAATTCTGCTTGTTGATTAACTCATTAGATATTTTTCTATCGTTTAAAATTTATTTTAATTGAATTACGCCAGACTTAAAAGTTATTTACATTTGCCAAACTTATTTGGAGGCGTTAATCTTACATAATTTAAGAAAAGATATTAAGATTCTGCTTCGTCTGCCAGCAATAATAAGGCACCTACAAGATTTTTCTTTACTGTTGCACAAATAGGCAGGGTAGTCCAAGGAAATACCAAACCACAGCATACCGGTGTGAAGTGAAAGTTTTATACTTCTGTAAGTAGTAAATGGGAGCGCATCTACAACCCTAAGGAAGTTACAGTTGCAGTTAACATTCAACATTATGTGAACTGGTTTAATTAATTAATTATTTTCATAACTAAATTGCTTTCGTAAATTAAGGTTCAAAAGGCAATACTTTCTAGCTTATGTCTGGAGAAATTGTAATTTCGACCAGATTACATCCTCTGGATAGGTTCCACTATCGAAAGCGCTCCATGGATTGGACAAACCCTCGTTAGACGATTTATCTTTTCTTATCTTCAGGGGTCACGGAGCATAGAGGGTCATCATATTGACTCTTCTTACTAACGAACGGTGATAATAATCTCACTTTTTTGTTTCACAATGCGATTGGCCTTAACTTAACTTTTACTGTGGTAGGACCACCCAACAGTTTTCACTGTTGCATGAATGAGCATGTCCACGGGTAAGTACCACGATTTCACAGAAGACCGACGTAAAGGAGGTGTTATACTTCTGTGTTTCGTCTGGTGAGTGAATAGCCGGGTCCCACTTTATTTAATCGTGGCAACGCATTTGCAACCGTGCATGGGTGTTGCAAATGTGCATGGGCGGAGGTTATCACTTAACATTAACATCAGGTGAACTGCCAACTTGTTTGCCACTTTTTTCACATAAAAAAATAAATTATATCTAAGTCTAGGATATATAGCATGGACATCACTATTCTTTTAACGTCAACTTCAGAATAAAATTGGCATACGGTTTCCATAGCAACGAGTGTTTTGTCAATATGGTATAGGTTATATCTAATTATGATTTTTGTAGCTTGAGAAGTAACTTGTTATTTTCATAATTTTAAGGCAATATGGAAAACCAAGATGCACCTCAAATTATTACTCACATTGAACACAACTTAAACCATTCGTTGTTCGATTGTAAATGGGTACCATGTTCTGCTAAATTTGTCGTAATCGGATCACTTCCTAAAGGTAGCGGTACTATAGAAATATTTGAAATAACATCAGGAGAAGTTAAAAAAGTGAAAGATATCGAGAGACCGAATTCATTTAAATGTGGCACGTTCGGAGCGAGCAGCGACGTTGAGCGAAGATTAGCTACAGGAGATTTCAAAGGAACACTAGAAATATGGTTTGTGTATTTTTCTACTTCAACGGTGACAAAAAAAATTGCTATCTACACTAAATTATTTAATTTTAATAAGTTGATTTATTTGTGAGGAAATATCAGCACATAGCATCCACTATTTAGACAAATTGGAACATGATAAAAGTGCATAATTATTCTAATAGAAGAACTAAATAATTGGACCTGATTTTTTTTTACTAACACACTTTCCATATTATATCATACTTTTACAAATATTTTGTTTTTAAGGGATTTAGAAAAAAGTAGCCAGATTTATATAACTAAGGAGCATTCAGATATAATTAATTCCATAGATGGTATAGGAGGCAATACAGTTAATTGTGGGGCTCCTGAAATTGTTACTGGAAGCAGAGATGGTAAGACAAAAAAATCTTTAGATTGGCAGGTGGGATGAGTTTATCTTTTATCCATTTTGATAGGAGCTACATACTGCAAAAAATAGTTTCACATTTTTTTGCACAAAGTTAAACAGAAATTGTACTTTAGTCTTAATCCTAACAAGTTTAGCTTTTTTTGAGACAGCCAAAAATTGATCTACTAAAAGTATAAGGCAATGAATTCCTAACAAATCTGTGTTGGTTGATGGAAAAAGAGCAGTCGGTGACCCTATATTTTTTTTTTTTGTTCAATCAATATTCATGATCCTCAAATGTGGGTTTTGTGTTCTAAAAGTGAATGCTTTAAATTATGATGATATCTAAATTGAAACTTATTTCTATTGCACCAGGTTAAGGTAAAGTAAGGTAGGATAAGTTATTAGTATTGAAGGTTTTGTTTCGATCTAAATGTACTCAATTATTTAGTTTAACAAATGCCACGAATAGACAATATTATAAAGATTTCTCTTCGGTCTTCATTTTCACACTCATAGGCACAGTAAAAGTTTGGGATCCACGTCAAAGAGGCAAACCCGTTGCCAACATGCAGCCTATGAAAGGGGAGGTCAAACGCGACTGTTGGTCTGTTAATTTTGGTAATTCGTTCAACGACGCCGAGCGGATCGTTGTCGCCGGATACGATAATGGCGACGTGAAGATGTTCGACCTCCGGACCATGTCACTAAGGTGGGAGTGCAATTTGAAGAATGGGGTGAGTGTTTGTTACAATTAACGCCAATAACAGGAAGGTTTTGAAATATTTAACACTAAATGCGACTGTGTGTGTTCTTTCTGATTTTGGTTTCAATGTCAAAGACACATTCTTCTGAGCTGGTAATTTAAAGTAAAACTAAAAAAGTGTTCTGAATGCAGCCAGTCTGTGGTAGGACATTTTAAAAATAATTCTGCGAATTAATAGATAAATCGGCGAAATTATTTTCGACATTCAAATCGATGACGACGTTTTTTCAGTCCCCAGATCAACGAGAGGTCTGTCTATTAAACACATTTTAATTGCAAAATTTAATAAAAATTATAAGCTACGTACTATAATATATATAAATTATTGATACGTAGTTTTGTACGTACGTTTTTCTCAGTACGCAGCATATGAAAGCATTAGAATAAAATTTGAAATAGTGAATAGAACAGATAAAACTAGTGTATTTCATTTTTTGCACGAGCAAACACTACCATAAGTACAATCATAACAACTGTTGAACATCGCGTGCATTATGTATCACGTCATGAAAGAATATTTTTCAGGTTTGTTCTACTGAGTTTGATAGAAAGGACATCCCAATGAACAAATTAGTCGCCACCACTCTGGAGGGAAAGTTCCATGTTTTCGACGTGAGAACGCAGAATCCATCAAAGGGGTTTGCCCAAGTACGTACAAAATTTTACTGAACTTCTTTTGAAACCAAAGATAACATAAAGGAGACACGCCAAAATTTACGGTGTTGGATTAATGCAAACACGTAAACTGATAGGATAGTAATTTTCATACGTAAACTGAATAATGGATACGTTTGAAAGACAACTTTATACATGCCAAAATTTAGGCTCCGGTCTGTGAGGCCGTGGCATTTCCCCGGTCGACCCTGCCCATTCCTGCAACAACCAACGTTGTTGCGTGGCCCTAATTGAAAACTGTGTCCATTACACATATTATGTATATTTTTCAGGTTTTAGACAACTCGACTAAAAGCGGCACTATATGGGTAGCCCGTCATCTGCCGCAGAACCGCGACATATTCGTAACGTGTGCCGGCAACGGACAAGTTTCCCTGTGGAAGTAGTAAGAATAGATATATTGAACATAAACTAAATTAATCGGAACAACACTATGCCCTACAGATGGGCAAAAGCTTCATCTTTAAGTACTGTAGGGATTAGGGCATAGTGCGCACCGTTGATAGATTTCGCATAGGTATCATTTGCCATTTGCCCTGCCCATTGCTACTTCAACTTGCAGACCCGCTTGATGATGTCGGTAACTTTCTGAGGATCTCACTCTTGATTCTGTCTCGTAGAGAAAACCCGAGCATAGCTTACTCAATTGCCCGCTGAGCGACCCAGTCTCTTTAGGAGGCCCATAGACCATTCTTGCAGTACACATTGGTGCAAGACTTGAGTCGAAAGTCGAAAGAAGACTTGTTATGTCAATTAAATAAAAAACAAAAACAGTATATCTGTAAATATGTACGCAAATAAGAAGTTATACTTCTTTAGCGTACAAAAGAAAAATAAGTACGTTTGTGAAAAATACATTAAATGCAATAATTATAGGTATGAAACGGTTTCATTAATTAACTTGGAATTAAAGGTAAATGTCAAAATGACGTTATTGGTTGCCATGGTAATACTGTGTTGTTGATCGAAGTTGGCGGCTTTGCAGCCAACTTAATCATGCGGCTGTTGGTTAGCGCTCGCATCGTGAAAATGTTACTCCAAATATTTTTAATTATTTTTTAAAAAGGTGTATATATAGTTGTTAAAACCGTACAAGGTATACGGATTTGTGCAGTCTCGATCCCTGTCGCAGCGAATACCCGGAGCAGAGGTCGCGCGTGGACGGGCAGGGCGTGGCGTGCGGCGTCGCCGGAAAGTTGAACCGTTTGCAGCGAATGGTTGTCAGCTCGCAGCCGATCAACGCGTGGGAGTGGAACCGCGACCAGCTCGGCCTCGCGGTCGCCACGGCCTACGACCAGTGCGTCAGGGTCGTCGTCACCACGAAACTGAACTTGCAGTGAACCGCCTAGTAGTTCGTCGCGAAAAGTCAATTGCACAGAATACACAAAAGCTAAAATGCTTAAGATATAAAAAATTTACTTATAATGCTTTTAGTATTTAAACATTCAGTTAATGTAAGATATACTAAATGATTCTTTTAATGCGTTTTAAAAATTGCAGCGACGAATTGTTGTGTTAAAGTTGCGCGGCTTGCGATCGATTGTCAATATGAGAGTGAATAAAAGCTATTTAAGTGAATCGACTCGATTAGAGTTATTGTTATGATTTGAAATAAATATTTTCACGTTTTGATTAGCCCGTTTTTATTTTACGGAAAGATAATTCACAGTTTGAAAACAAGAAATGCTCAAATCCGGGATGCGCAGTTAAAAAGGGGTGTGGTGGAAAACTTCAAAGAAAATGTTTAATTAATTATATTCATTTGATATGCAGATTTATCGCTCATTTCTTCGGAGGAGGACCTCCGTCATGGTAAATCAACCTATGACATGGAATTATTTCCCGTTGATACTAAGATGTGAACTGTAATTGAATTTATAAAAACATTCGGATACTAAGCTCCTGGCGTTGAAGATTGTGTACCGTAACAAGTACAATACATAGCTATTTCAATGCAATGTTTTGTTTATTACCCAATACAGTCAGTGCGACATTAGAATATCTATGTTAAGGATTGAATTTCAGATGTATAAGTTTTGGGTAAGAAAGCTATGTTTTCTTCACAAGTTTTTAATTTGTGCACATCACACACAAATCACAACGCTCGCAAAGTACTAAAACATTATGCTCTGGGGATAGCACATTTCCATGGAGCCTGTAGTAGGGGCAAAGATGTGAGAATTTTTTTCGAGAATCTTTTCTGTGCTTTGCACGAAAAATGTGCTATTTTTATCTTTGCGTCTACTTTTGGATTACACCTTGTGTTTTTATTAAAGCGAAGATCAACACTCAAGGATCGTCAAAAATGAAACAACATGATAAATTTCCAACTCAAAAGAGCAGTTTTATTATTATCCTAGCAATTATTATAAATAAAATTAAGGCTAGCATTCAGTTCTTATTAAGACTAATGTTAGAACGAGTCGTGAGGACGCACGCAACAGCTGTTAGCAATGTTTCAATATCGCCAAAGACAAGCAGAGGTCGATTGCTTTATCCATGCGATAGGCCGTGCCATTCTCCTCGACCGGTGACAAGCTCAACCCATTTTACACAGTATTAATAACGCAGCGAAACAAAGATTACTTAGTCCGCGAGTAATTGCATCGTTCGGTTGATTTGAACCGATTCATGTATATCTCGTTATAGTGTCTGTTTAAATGGGCCTAGCAAGCACCGTAACATGCTGTATCATCACACCTAACCAAAATAACGCTAAATATATCGAAATACGTGAATTAATCCGAAATAAAACTTTACAACATGCTGTTGACAAATGTTACACTGAACAAATTTACCATTTCATCAAACCGAACCACGATGGTGCATGAATCAACGTAAGCCAGTCGTGAGATGTCAAGTAAAAATTATATCAAAGCAGCATCAATTTCCTAACACATTTTATCTCATTTAAATAATCAATTGATTAGCAATACCTCTAAATCTAAAAACAATATGCTTGTCTCGCAATTCATGTGTATTCTGATTATAGGCAAAAATGTCGTGTCATCACTAACTAGTGGTTTCGAATTGTACAAAAACTATTTCTTTTTCTTCAATCTCATAAGCTAAGGTCGCTACCACTATTTAACTTACATTATTTTTACAACTCCCCGTATGCGATGCGTTTACATTCATTATTCACTATTGATTAAGTAGTTTAGCGCTGTTGAAATGTTTAAGTTACGGTGTTTACTTAAAAGCTGACTAAACCAATCCTAATATCTGTGTAAAAGAAACATTTTTCCTAGCGATCAATTTTCACTACAACAACATATACGTCCATTAACACAACAGAGCTCTACTTTTAATTGAAAAAAAAAATCAGCTGAATGTCTGCGATTATTACTTATGTACTAATGTATAAATGGCATGTCAGTACCACCCTACGGGTGATAGCTCGATCTGAACTTATTAACCTAAGAACATCAGCCATCTTGAAAATGGATCACAACATGTTAACAAAGACGAGTAAAAAAATAGACCCCATTGTAATTCTATTCGCAAACACAGAAGTGTAGTGTTTCTTAATGTGGGGGAAAAGACGTTATTCGATTGAAAAAAAGTTGTCACTGGTTTTGGCGCCATTCTTAGACCCATAGCGGCGCCATTTGCATCACAACAAATTACACGGGTACGAGATCTAAATTTGTCCCCTTCGAAATCACACGATTCAAATCGCACAAACAAAGGTTCCACACAAACAAACTGTACCTCGTCTCAAACACATTTCAGCTTACACTACTAACTGAAGGCTCCCTTATAACTAAAAAGCATACCACACTCTACAAGGTAATCAACGGAACATTAATTAATTTATGTTAGCTTCGTATCATCACGGGTATGTACAATTTTCATGAACATTTCACATACTTTCAACAATCAAAAACTGACGCGTGCACTGTGGTCTTGTCATTGCAAGGTGCGCGAAAAATCGACAGAGAGCTCCAAAATCGATTTAAATCGGCGAGTAATCATTTTGCTTATACAATAAACCACGGCAAAATCACATACAAGCAATTATCAATAAACGTATCGATTATGTCCCAAATAAATATACGTGAAGACGAATACAAATGAAGAGAAACTGTTCCGGTGAAAAGTTGTACACAAAGCCCCGTTAAAACATTTCATTAACATATTTTTGATAAAAAATTCATTAGTTACGTTAAATCAATGATCACCTTTAATTATTTATAATATACACATATTAAACAAAATCTTATGTGCTCTCTTAAAACATATAATGTAAAAAAATATAACTCACCCATACAAAATTTTCACATTGTCATCAATTATTGCCTTAAAAGCTGCATGGAGCACAACTAAAGTATTTTCAACAAAATTTATTAAAACCTTTTAAAATCGTATCAACAGTACAACAGTACATTACGAGTACATTACGAGTGAAACTGTACTTATGTATATTAATTGTGGGTACTACTACCTGCAATGGCATAATAATAACAAATTATACGTTTTAAAATTTGCAAATCGCCACTATCAGGACAAATGATAGCTTTATTGCTATTTTATGGGGAAAAACGCACTAAACTTAAACGGTCAACTGAATTTCGTGATTGCGCAGTATACAGTATTGCATTAGAAAATTTCGCGCCGCAGTAGAAATCACTATCTGTGCCGTTCACACTATAGTACGTTTGTGTGTAGTGGTGAACAAAGTCGACATGAGGTTTTTGTGAATTTAATGTGTTGGGTAATCTTTTGCTTTGGTTTTAAAGTTCTATAAAGTGGTTTCTCGATTTTGGCATTTAGCGTTTAATCTTGATAATTCCTTCAGCAAAGTTTACCCGAGAGCGTTTGAATTTTGCGCGGGCTATACCGCTATTCATTTTTTTTCATTGTTTTTAATTAAATGCTTTTACGGGCATTTTCATAACGTATGTAAACATATTTTTCTCATTTCAACCTAAATTTTTATCTTATTTTATAACCATATTTTTTACAAAATTGAAAAGAGAAAACGATCAACAAATAGCATTGGTGAATTATTTAAAGGTTTAAAAATATGACAACCTAGCAATGAGACTAAATTAATTTCACCGTGATAGACACTTGAACATTCAATAATAAAATCATTCACCCATTTACAACACATCAAACAAATCAAATCGCAATGTACAAAAGCTCCGAACTTTTCCCATCGGTTCCTGTGTTGCCTTCAATCCCCCATTTTTATTTTACAAGTACACCACAACAAATAAATACTTGCGTCATCCGTAATGATTTGTACCTTACAAATATGCAGTGACACTAACGTCGTAAATCAATGTTATGAATGACATTATACACCTTTATAAGATATATGCATCTCATAAATTATAATTTTATCAATATGCGTCAATAAATTTATCGAAGGGAATACAATTATTACTTGTCTTGATATTTCAACACAATGTCGCATAAAATATTTATCACTCCTCAAATAATTTTAAGACTGGAACCACAACCTCATTATACAAGCATATTTTGATTAATTGCAAACAAAGATTCTATATGATAATATTATTCAATAATTTAAAGGTCCATTGGTTGTAAGCTGCAGAAATAGGGATGTCCCAACCTTGATATTGCAGTATCGACCAACTAATATACAGAAAAAGTATAGGGGAACATAATTTTATTTAAAAAAAGAAAAAAATTAGCATTTCAATTTTAACAATTTGTCGCGGTTTTTTTTTAATGTATAATCAAACAATTTTTATCCATGGTTTAGTTCCAGTCTTCAAATATGGAAGGTTGTTGTTATAACAATGCATTAATATAAAATAAACATAGTATCTACTTTATCACATTATACAAAACTGGACTGTAGTTGCACGACATCTTATCCACTGTTTAATGTCAATTATTTATTTTGTATAAATTTAAATCGACTTTCACCCGTTTGCATAACTTCAGTACCGATTATTTAATAACATCGTTATAGGACACACCATGCATTTTTACATGCAACATTTTGTCACAAAGTTTCGTTTAACGTGAAATTTGACACCAGTTATGTTAGGTAGTAATGTACTTAATAATTTATAACTACTACCGTACGCACTCTATAATGAACCTCTAACTGTCGGATGATAAAGAACCTCTAGTATATACATATATTTGACCTATCAACGGACTCATACATGTACCGATTGGGTCGACAAGTGGCCGGGCTACTACTAGTCCAGATGAAGCGGCACCAATGAGATTCCGTCCATACAGATGTGTTTGGTGCGCGTTTCGTCGAGTGCACGGACGCGGTGGTGGTTTGGGCTGTCGAATGGGATTTCCGCGCACTATCCGTCGGTTGGCGGTCGGCTGGAGACTGTCCTCGGGGCTGTGTCGCCATGGAGCCGCCGTGTGGACACCCTGGTTCGCGTTGCACCATCTGCATACGGTACCGTACGCGGATCTGCGAATGATGACACGAATTTAGACGTTTATGTCTGCACAAGCAGTGAAGTTGCACCCCTGAGATGAAAAGCAAAGATTAAAAAGTAAAGTCAGTCTATATTGTTCCACTGCTGGTCAAAGGCCTCCTCTGTACGGAGGGTATTAAGTCCACCACGCCACTGCGGATTGGCAGAATTCAAATATCTGGAAATATTCTTTTGTTATTATTTCCAAAATATGCAGGTTTCCTCAAGATGTTTTTCTTTACCGCCAAGCACTATATATATAAGTCAGCACTTAAAATTAACAATTGCATTATTGCCGGCACCGGGGATCGAACTCAGATTGCTCCAGTAGATAGAATAAGAAGCGAGCGAACAATAAATATCCCATAATCACGGCTTAAAATTAACTAAATCGAATTAAAAACCATTTGAGCAACAGCGAAGACTGTCGCGTGGCCCTACCACAGTTAGTTTTACCACAGATAAAATTTGTCTATATAGTTATATATAAATGCACTCGTTATCAAGTTATTATTCTATTGTTAGGTTATGCCTGCCCATTCGAGCAACAGTGTTCCGTGTCCCTACCACCGAAATTATTGTAGATCCGCGATCGGTGACCGTAATTACCCGTGCTGGTGAGATTCAGTCGAGGTTGTCCTGGAAAATGAGGCGCACGTAGCCGGGAGTGCCCTGCAGGGGCGCCGCGCAGAAGGGGCAGATCGCGTGGAAGCCGTTCGTCCCGTGCGGTATGTCCACGCTCGCCCAGTATCTGCGGACAGACATTTGGTAATTTTATTTCGTCTCTTTGTGCTTCACCTCGCATCTGGTGCTAAATTCATGTAAATTATGAGATTCGCACGTCTCGCAGAAATGTCCTCAAAGATCTTAATCCTGGTCAATCCTTTCGAGATCAATTTTAAACTGGATGAACATATTTTTCGTTTTTTCACACATATCGGTTGGTCGAGTTCGTTAAACGATAATATTCAATAAAAAAAAAAAAATATTTTTTATTGAGTTACTTTCATTACTTTCTCAACTTGTAATTTTTAAAAGTTACTTTATATGAATATCAATCAATCAATCAATCAATCAAAAATCTTTATTCAAATAGACGCTTGCGTGCTTTGATTTTACATCAAAGATTATGTATACAGCGTGTCGTTACCATCGCGACAATAAATGAACACACGTCTAACGCTACGTGCCAATAATCATAAAAAAATATTAACGTTAAACAAAATCCATAATTAAAAAAAATATTTTTCAAACAAACTAAATAAGTAAAAAAGAAACAAAATTTATAACATCCTGTACAACTCACGCCACAGCGTCGCATTACAAGCCTCTCCTTCTAACAGTATGTTTTGTCTCTTTTAAATTCATTCAACCCATTCATATGCTTTGTGACCTTTACAAATGAACTTTACGTTACGCTTTTATAGGTAAGGGTGTTCTAAAATTCTTTGTTTTGGAAAATTTAATAACTCTGTAAATATCGATGTTTAAAGAATTTAAATGTTTTAATACAACTAAAAACTTATCCCCTATATGTGTGTTCATTTATTGTCGCGATGGTAACGACACGCTGTATAGGTTCGTAAGGTACGGAAAGCAGCAAGAAACTCAACAGTTGCTCTTTTTCAAAAATATCAGTTTACAATATAAAATACCAGTATAATAGTCTTATTCTACCCTACGTGAGTATCTACAGTATTAACTCCACACATTGGCGTCGTCGAGATATCATGATATAAATAACATTTAATTATAAGAAGATCCCACATTCTAGATACCTTTGGAAAAGTTATCAATAATTTATAAATTCGTACATCCCGCATATGTATTAACATAATTATGTCACAACGCCACACAATCTCGTCCTTTTTTATTTCTTACGCATGTACGTACTGCAAGTAAGAACTCAAACACACACACATGTCAGGTCGATGTCCCACCCACTCGCTCGCCTCTGACACACGGGCGTACGTACGTACACACCCGTTGGATCCCACACACTATATCCTCTTCACATGGACGTACGTACGCACCCGATCGCACCGAGACACTATATCCTCTTCACACGGACGTACGTACGCACCGACACGCACTATAACCTCTTATATACACTCTTCACACGCACACACGGGGACGTACGTACGCACCGACACACACTACAACCTCTTATATACACTCTTCATACGCACACACGGACGTACGTACGCACCGACACACACTATAACCTCTTATATACACTCTTCACACGCACACACGGACGTACGTACGCACACATGCTCCCCCCCCCCCCCCCACTCACTTGACGGTCCTCTCGGAGGCCATGTGGCCGCACGGGTTGAACGCGTAGGTGGGCGGGCCGGCGTCCACGTAGAAGGCGGGCTCGATGCCCATGCACACGCGCACCACGGGCCCCGCGGTGAGGCACATGGGGCAGCGGCGCACCCCCGCCTCGCCGCCGTCCGCGCCCCACGAGTGCTCGCCTGCGCGGTTGGGGACGTGCAAAGTGAACAAATACATCGACATTTACTCTTTGGCTCCTACCATAATATCTGTATATATATCGATATTTTCTCTTTAGCTCCTGGAAACCCCGTCGTCCAAAGAACAAAGGTATTTCATGTTAAATATTTGATATGTACGGACTATCGTAATATATATAGATATTTTTTTCAACATTCCTACTCAGTTTATCGACGTTAGATGCGCTTGTTTTGGCGCGCAAGTAAAATGATGGGAGTGGATTTATACGACGCACGACGCCTAAAAGCGTTACCATGGCAACCAATAACTTTTTAACATCTACCTCAAATTCCAAGTTGTTTGGCTGAACGTTGTTGTACAATTTGATGATTTCGTTGTTGTGTAGTTGGGATAAATTTTTTAAGTTATTCTTCTTTTGTTACACTAAAGAAGTATAACTTTTTACGTGCGTACATAAGTACCATTTTTTATGTAATAATTGGCGAATGACTCGATGATTGGTTCACTTGATATTAACTGGCTACCACCGCTGATGGAAAAGTACAACACCTGGTGGGTCACAGGCATTGCCAACCTATTTAAAAGCGGGCCTCAGAGTCACGAGACGAACATACCCATTGATTGACGACCTCAAGATTAGGAGATTCTTCGAAGCATCAGAACCGGAGACATACTCCGGTTCTGATGTGTTGGATTATAGTTATGCGCTTTATTTTTACTTGAACGCGTTAACAATTTTCTGTCAACCTACGATCGGGCTTACTCTATTGTCTCTTCTGGTGACGACAGCTAATGGTAGCTAATAAGTCTTTACTTCCAAGAGGGCAGCTAGGCAGCTAGCCATGCTCGCAACCGACACCAGTATTTGACGGGAGCGAACAGTCTACAGCAACGGGGTGGGGCCCGCACCTTGGACGTGGCCGCAGTTGAGGTAGACGTAGGGCTGGTTGAGGTCCTGGTGGGCGGCGGAGAGCTTGCGCGGTATCACGAGCGTGTTCAGGCCGACGGGGCACTGCGGCCGGCCGGCGTTCAGCTCATCCACCAGCGCCTCTAAGGTGCGCTTCGTCTGCGGAAGGAACGAAGGGAATGAGAGCCTTGTCAAAGAACTATGGAACGTCTTCTTTTCAAAGTCAAGATTCACTCCTCTGGAACGCCCGATAAGATCAAAACAGATCAGCTTAATATATAGCTTTTCAAGTCCTTAGCTTAAAGTGAAGCAATAATGATTAAACAAATAAACATCTTCCTCTTCTCCTCAGCCCGAGCTCTTAAGACGACTGAACTCCATTTGCAGTCTTCCTCCACTCCTCCACCTAGTGCATTCTTTGTCCTGCCTTTATTCCACACTAGGTCAGGTCGGCACAACGTGCCCTTTCTTTCCACTTGGATCGTCAGTTAAAAAAATAATGCAGAAAAAGGGTAGAGTTCTTGCCACAATCCAAGATTAATAACCAATGCCGGTAAATGTCAACGGGTTATTTATTTTATTTATTTATTTAATCTTTATGCACACACATGAATGTACAAAGGCGGACTTAATGCCATCAGGCAACCTGGGGGTGGTCCAGAAAAGTTTAGGTTAGAGCAGACTCTTTCTTAAGAGGCCGATAACGCATTTGTGAGCCCTCGGGTGTTGCAGGTGTCCATGGGCGGCGGTAATCACTTACCATCAGGGGAGCCTCCTGTTCAAAAGCCTGCCTCAGTAAAAAAGTTACGTACCGGTGAATTCTTGAGCCCCTCTGCGCTCCTCCACAGGAGGGTTGCCCCGCACAAATCGATCATAGTGCCGTCCCTCAGCACGTTTGTCTCGGCTTGGCATGGCACCCCCTGTAATTTATAGTTTTAATTAGTTACTTATGATAAACTAGCGACCCACCCCGGCTTCGCACGGGTGCAATGTATTATACGTATAAACTTTCGTCCTGAATCACTCCATCTAGTAAAAAAACGCATCAGTATCCTTTGTGTAGTTTTAAAAATCTAAGCATAGATAGGGACAGGCAGACAGCGGGACGACTCTGTTTCGTACTATGTAGTGATAACGTAATAAAAATCACGTTTCCTCATATAGTTACAACCTTTTTGTTTCAAGGTTTGTTGCAAGGTTGCCTATAATCAAACGTGACAAGCTTAACGTCAAGTGGAAAAAGTAATAGCGTCCTATTCGGTCCGTTGCTATCTTATCGTTCCCGATAAGCATTAAGCATAGAAATAGATAGCAGGGGATTACAAACAAAGCTTTATAACCTCGCATCGATTGCAGTATCCAAAGTGAGTCGCAAACTAGATTTTATGTTGCGGTTAAGTCAGATTAGATGTATAGTGATTACCGCCCCCCCGCCATCCACAACAACTTCATGATTGTTGTGTACCTTCATAGGTTGCAGTTGGGTTTGCCAACATTAAGGCCCCGATTACCTCACACACCAAACGAAATGCAAAAGTATAAACACTTGTACTTTACACCGGTCTTCCACTAGACCTTGGCACGTTTCCGGTAGAGACAGTCAATTTCATGCAACAGTTGCAAGCCGCTACTATATCAGTGAGTATTCCTGACTCATAGTAGTCATTAATTTCATTCCAATTCCCTCGACAATATTCACCATCACTCCTATAGTGAATTCACCGTCCATCGGCACCGCCGATTTCGAACACTCTTTCTTTCTCCTGCCCTTAATCCACCTTGACTGGGTCAGTCACCATATCACCACCACCACCATCGATTGATTGCTGTATACAAAGTGAGTCGCAAACTAGTTTTTATGTACCACTTCACATACCACTTAGGGACAAAAACCCAGAACAATAAAATATTAATAAATAAATATTTTAGGACGCATTTTTACACAACATTCTCTAGTCCCAAACTAAGCCAAGCTTGTACTATGGGTACTAGAAAACTGATAAACATACTTAAACATACTTTTCTTTTGTAAATAAATACATATTATACATATATTAAAGACTCTAGAAAAATACTATGTTCATCACACAATATTTATCCAGTAGTGGGGGTCGAACCCACACCATCTGGCGCAGGAGGCAGGTACACTACACACAACGCCATTCGGGTCGTCGGTAATAAAACACGGAACAATTTCCTGCGCGTCACACAAATAATACCCGTGTGGTAATCGAACCCCACGACCACCAAACGAGTCATCACCGAATTCGAAAGCATTCAAATTAAAAGTTAGAGTATTTATAATGGCTGAAGAACATCATGAAAAGTTTCATCTATTGCGCAATAGCCGAGTTAAAGGTCTCTAAGTGGCAGCAGGGAATATTGACCGCGAAAGCTAGCCGAAATTTTAGACCCCACTATGCCACTTTTTGTTAGAATCCACGTCTTCGGCATACGCGACCTGACGGTTTAGCCACTAAGCTAAACGGCCGATTGCCACACCGACGAAAATCTTAACAGCTGTAAGTTTTCCCAATAAAATGACATTAAAAAAAAAAAAAAACCTTCTGCTGTGCCGAGCGGCTCTCCCTCAGCGAGAACACGGCCCCGCCGACGGATGTTTCGCGCCACGGCCCGCAGGTGGCGCTGCCGCCGCAGAAGTCGCCGCGCGGGTGCATTATCAGCACGCCGTTGGTAGTGAGACCGTCGATCTCATGGTTCTCCGTCCACTTGGTCGCCTTCTCCTGTAAACGGTGATGCTTTCGATTAGAGAACTCTTTTTTTTTATTTGAGAAGGCGGCATACGAGCTGGCGTTCAACCAATGTTAAGTGAAAAGCGTCGCCCATTGACGTTTGCAACAATCGTAGAGTTGCAGATGCGTTGCCACCTTTTATTAAAATGCGCGCTGGCTACCTAATACACCAGGCGAGACGGAGAAGTATAATACTTTCAGTTCACGCTGTTCTTCTGTGAGGTACTGGTACTTAACCGGACGGACCTGCCCATTTGTGCAACAGAGATGACTGTTACTTGACCCTACCACAGTTAAAACTATGTTATAACTAGCTATTTCCTTTTGTAATTTATTCAAAGTAGCTATTGTTTGCTATTAGATTAGCTATTTATTGAAAATTGCCTCTAACTGGATCGTTAGAAATTTTAGAGATTTTTATTTACGCTGGAACCGTTTTGCGACTTTATTTATACGACATACGGTTTTCACTAATATTTGGGAGTGATTCACGCGACTCACACAATTCATCAAGGTTTTGTGTAAATTGGATGAAACATGACGAATGAAATGTTCAACAATCATAGTTGAAGATTTTGGAAAAAATCATGCGGAGCAGATAAAACTCGGCTGTTAGCGAATCAAACACTTGAGTTATAAAAATATCAGTAGTAGTGAATAAGAGGGCTGATCTGACAATGTTGATAGCTCCAAGCAATGCCGTATTCCTAAGCGCTTATCCCCATCTATTGACGAATCACTCACGCCAAGGAATATGTTCCTCGAGGAGTCGAAGCCGGCCGCGTAGATGCGGCAGTTGTTCACGTCGTTGCGGTCGGCGATGATGCGGCACGCGAACCGCGATATCGTGCTCTGCAGCACCTTCGTGTCGCCGCTCTTGTCGCCGGCCACCGTGTCCATCACCACGAAGTCGATCGGCGACTCGGACGAGCGGCCGATCTGTTGGCGGGAAAAAACAATAATAAAGAAATCTGTTACTGTAGCATAATGCACGACAGTGATCTCCATAAAGTGAACTAACAGTAAGTTGATCTTGGTGTTAATGAAAACATGAAAGTGAACATAAAGCACAAGCAGACGCGTACCATTTTTTTTGTAAAAATAATAAAGTAACAACAGCCTACTTATGTCTCATCGCTGGACAAAGGCCTCCCCTATACAGAGGGTATTAGGGCATACATAGTCCACCACGCGACTCCGCTGCGGATTGGCGGACTTCACATCCTTTATTTTACCATTATTTCAAAGACATATACACGTTTCCTCACGAGGTTTTACTTCAACGCTGTGCACGTGATAAGCAAGCACTTAAAATTAACAATTTCATTAGTGCCGACACCGGGGCATTGGACTCAGTTTGCTCGAGTATATTAAATTAAAAGCGGGCGCGCGGCTAATGAGCTATCACAGCTCTGTCAGTAATCTCTATTCGTTCAAAATTAGTAGCTCCTTGTCTCCTGCCAAGCATAGTACAATAAGCTTTATAGCCGTATAGTAAGGAATAGACGACGGTTCCTTTTTACACTTTTCTTTCAAACAGGTACCCTTACGTACATATTGTTGACATTGTTGCTTAATTATTTGGTTAATATAGAACAACATTTAAACATTACTTAAATATATAAAACTTTGTACGTGACGATCCTTTATCAAGTAAAAGATTAATTAATTGCAGCGCATTTCCCCTAATTGGTTGTAATTTATTCAAAAATTTACATCATACCACGGCTCATGGATCGTCCATACTTGTTATGCATCGAAATTTTAAACAAAATGTGTGTTTTTATAAAGCGAATAGACTTTATAAGATAATTTGTAATAATTTAAAAGCACCATCTCTAATGTAATGTCAAGGCACGATGATAGCTCTAATGCATTTTATGATTAAAACGTCAAGCTTACACATAGAGGTCTATCGCATTATCGCAACAGACAACCGTCTGTCTGCACTTATCGTGCAGCATTTTATGAAATGTAGGCGACAATGGCGATAGGAAGCTTTTGTTTTCAATTCCCTTATCGTCCAGTGAAATTGTACCTACAGGGGCCCGGCGCTAGTAAACACGAAAGATAAATAAAACGTCGAGTGTTGTTCGAATGGACGATAACAGGGCAAGTGTCACAATACATATAAAGATCGTAAATTAATTCAATGCAATAGGACTATTATCCTATTCCCTCGGTTCATGGATTGATAACGATTTCATTAATTGTTTCGAGCTGAGAAATGTTAATGTGATGGTCAATTCATCTGTAATATTTTAAAGATGTATGTAGAAGTCAATGGATCCAAACAGAACGTTGTTTTGAATTTCTTAGCTCATGAATTTTGTCTTATAACAATTACACAAATAATTACAATAAGATTTTGAAATTAAATTTCGTTAGCTTATTCTTGTTTACAGAGTAAGTTTGCAGCGAAGATATCATGGTTTTGAAAGCATTCAACTCCGTCTTTTGCTAGATCAGATTTCTTAAGGATCATACTTATTGTCAAATATTTCCTTGTATCACAAACTCTGGATTTGGATGAAAAGGTCAAGTGTATAAAATACAAAATTACATGGGAAATTTTTCTACAGTGGAGACTCGCAACAGTTTCGTCTGTTCCCGGCTCGTTTGGGTAAATATCACGACCTCACAGACGACCAGCGTGTGGTGAAAGTATTTCAATTTTGCTCCCTCTCAGCCATTAGTCGGTACTCTTGCCAACTATTTGGCTGGTGTAAAATCTCGATCTGTTGTTTAATCTGTATTAATATTAATTGTGTGTCCGCCTACTGATGTAGTGCCGGATTATTTATTAAGTCATTAGTAAGGTTTAAACTAATAAAACATTTTATAACCGTATCCATCCTTGTCTTTTACTTCGGATGTTGAACATATCCCGACATATATTTAAGTTTGTTTATCATTCACCTAGTACCTATAGTATTGACTAGTTTTAGACTAGATATCGTCATGTAAAAATATATCCTGAAAGTATTTATACTTATTTATATCTTGAAAAGTTAAAATTGCTAAAATTATTATCTAATTTCTTTACTTTAGTATACACAAAACACTACAAAGAGGCTATCGTATAAATAGCATCCTTTACGATGTAATTGTTGACTTATTTCAACGATATGATCGTCTTTCGATCGTTAGCGCAGACATGGATTGTGATTTGTCTGGTTTAAATTAATTTACACGTAAACAGGCGTACGCCAGGAGATGCGTGGAGCGTGTGGTCAGTGGCTGTGAAGGCAGAGTGACGTCACCGACAGTTCCGCGAGGCACCCGCGTCGCTCCGATTGTGAGCGAGGAATACAAGGCCGAATATGCGGCGATTTATCCTCTGACAATTTCACGGAATCAACTCATCATCGGACATCGGTCAATTGGAAAAATGTATGTGTAACTGCTTACTATTAACTCTAAACATACTACACTAGTGACCCGCCCCGGCTTCGCACGGATGCAATGTATTATATCTACATATAAACCTTCCTCTTGAATCACTCTATCTCGCAAAAAAAAAGCCAAATCAAGATCCGTTGCGTAGTTTTAAAGATCAAAACATACATACTTAGGGACAGACAGACAGCGGGACGACTTTGTTTTATACTATGTAGTAATGTTTGAAAACTTAGTGCTGATCTACCACGGGCCGCTATTAATATTTTATCTTTTTATCTTATCCTTTATACGAGAAATTCTTGTATATATATATAATCGGAATCTCGGAAACGGCTCCAGCGATTTTCATGAAATTTAGTATGTGCGTAGATTCGGGGGCGAAAAATCGATATAGCCAGGTTTCATTTTTAGAAAATGTCCTTTTATCCCTGTTTTCAGGGAATGAAAAATATCATTCGAATATGACGGTAAATTTCGCCGAAAAAAAATGATATAATAGCTCGGTCGGTAATCGGGCGGCCACGAAACAGAAGGCCGTGGTTCGTGTCAAGATCATTTACATACTTTCCAGATCATTGCTTTCTTTATTTTTAATTTTTTGTCCATCCAGATGATTTTGTTCCTTTTTCCCTTTTTTTTAAAGTTCTTTCTTTTGTGAAAAACACCAGTTCATATTTTCTTATTATTACGTCGGTAGGATCGAAAAATATTATGCATGTTTCATTACGTAGTAATTGGTATCTAAATGTAATTTCCAAAATACAAAAAAACATATGACACAACGGTCCTCCAGGTACTTTATATAATGGGTTATAATACCAAAAATGGCAAGTGTACGTTATATTGAAGATATTTTGAACCGACAATGGCGACGGGTAGGCATAATAGTAAAATGGCAAGCATCGCATCGCATCGGAGAGCACGTTGCTAGGCTCGACTAGGGTTGCCAGATGATAATTTGAAAAATTACGACTCTAGAATCTAACAAGGACTTCTTTTATTTAAAAAGTAAATAATACCCTTTGATAAAACGGTATTTTTATAAGATTTATGTTTTTTTTATGTCAGAAGGTTGTAACCGAGCTAGCGGTTCACCTGATGTTTAGTAATAACCGCCACCCATGGACATTTACAACAGCCGTAGGGTTGCAGCTGCGTTGACACCTTTTAATAAAGCGGGCTCCGGCTAGCTCACACATTCAACCACTCATTTCATAATCCCACACATACCGAAGCCTTTGCCCTAAACCTAGACCCCCTTCGCTCCCTCCACCTCTCCTCTCCCTCACCCCCCAACCAGACGAAATGAAGAAATATAACACTTCCGCTTCAAGCCTTTCTTATGTCAGGTCGTGGACCTGCAACATTCGTGCAACAGCGAAGTCTGCTGCCACAATTTTAATCATACCTTATCAGACATTTTTGAAAGTAAGCTTTCATGACTACGCTACAATGACACACGTTAAAAGGCTATGGTAAGTAAGGGAGGACGGAAGGAAAAAATATGGAATGAACAGATAGTGAAAGTATCAGCCTCTAAATGTCCACAGCTAGGCAAAGCCCTCCTCTGCACAGAGGTTTTCAGGGCATAGTAAACCACGCGGCCCCTCTGCGGATTGACGGACTTCACATATCTTCGAAATATTTTTTTTTATTATAAAATACGCATGGTACTTCTTTTGGATACATCTTTTGGATACTGTTTGGCAACCCTAGACTCAAGGCGCCTTACCTCGAGCGCACCTTCGCAACGCGCAAATGCAGCCGCCTTGAAGGCCGCCCTTATCGGTGCCTCGCTCGAGCGCGCGCCAAGCCGTTGCCAAATATTATAACCTTATTCGAAACGCAACGGGCTTGTGTAGCGGAATACGTGTGTCGTAATAGGAAAAGCGAATGTTGAGTAAAGATGCACCTCGTTACACGAAGTTTGAAATTTTGTTTTTGTCTTACTACACTGCGATCTGTCGCCACGGGAACATTTATCAGTGGGTTAGTTGGGTTTGTTATTGGCATGCGACCTGTGTTCTTATCCTACTTTGCTTCACTGTTACGATTTAAGTGTGAATATCTTCCGTGTGAGTGAAGTAAGAAAGACTCATCGTCAGGTCTGGATTGGGCATAGTTCACAAGGGTTGTCTGCTGTTGTAATAGTTGGGAAAGTTTATAAAAACGTCAACCAAAGTCATTGTAAGAACGCTTTGTTAATAGAAATAATAAAAAGTGGCAATACTAATAATGAAGAATTAATTAAATTCCAAAGAAGTAATAAATTAAATTTAATTCCTTCTTTTCTATTATACACTAGCACCCACGCATTATACCCATGCACGGGTGAAATGTAGATATTTAATTTCTCGGCTTTTCTCTACTATAATATGCATGTACACTACATATAAACGTTCCATTTGAAATCTGTTGCGTAGTAAGACCTAAACGTAAAAACATCGGGAGCGACTTGTAAAAATATACAATTGCTTTTGATTTATGTGGCGATTTCGGTCGCAGTTGAGAATCGCAGAGTAAGAAGCCAGGTGTGT